CATACTTGCTAGTATTTTTCCAACCTTTGTTGGCATATGTTTGCAAATAATTTGATTTCCATTCTGACCACTCCGAATCTAGACTCAGCTTGATCATCATGGAAGAATACCAATCAGTACATGATTTTTCTAGAAATAATCTTAAAATTTGAATTTTTTCTTCATCCTTTTGTATATCAAATCTTGTACACTCTCTTTCAAATACTTCCATCCATTGAGATGCATCTGATTTTTGTCCATCGAACTTTTCTATTATAAATCTGTTCGATAACTTTTTTACACTTTGTTTTTCTTTGTTCTGATGATCTTCAACTAATTTTTCCAATATTTTTACTATGGGATCATCAGAACTTTTTTTATCATAACTAGCCAATTGTTCATTAGTAGTTTCTTCTAGAAATTGGTCCTGAAAAATCATATTTCCATGTTCATCAACATAAGTTTGTAATAATTCCTCCGTTGCTTTAATCCACACATGTCTAGCTTGATATCTCTTTTTCAGAGTATTTTTTACTGTAGCATACTGTTTTAAATTTTGAATATGTTTGTGGAGTGTTACTGATTGATAATCTTCAGGGATAAAGAATTTTTTATCATCTTCTGTTGCAATTGAGGTTATAGCGATATTGTTTGATTTTCCGTCTGTTGTTGGTTTTACTTGAAACGTAAATTTCAACTTTTCCATTTTTTTTTGACAATAAATGTCGTTTTATAAGATTGTATTCGTGCTTAGGGTGACAAAGCCAATCAAACACAATTGAGTTTCTCTGTCAGAAAAGAAACGACATTTAATGTTAATAATCACAATGTCAGTTCCTAAACACTTTTACACCAATATCTACTATTTTAAAGATAATTTTACTTTTAGGAAATTTTATTAATTACGCCCTGACGTATTTTAGGTTTTCACTTGTTTCCCTATCCTAGTATCATAGGAGCTGTATCTATGACAATTATAACGCGCAAAATTCAAACTAAAGAAAATTAGGTATTTTTCTTTACATATATATATATATATATATATATATATATATATATATATATATATATATCTCGTATATATATATATACTCGTATATACATATACATATACATATACATAAGTCCGTATATATGTAGGACAAACAAAATATTGATGAAAATGGAGAATACATACAAAACAAAAGTAGACTTACATTATTATTGGTAGGTTACATCTAAAGATGCGTACACAACACTAAAAATTAACACTAACTTTTATACTTGTCAACTCCATGAATTTTTTATCATTTTTTGTATGGTGTAAAAAGAAAAGTGATAGTTTTATTTGACAAAAATGTGAGTAAAGTTAAGTAATTTCTGCCACGACTTGTGTACTTTGCACTCTCCGAGGCACATCTGAACGCGCACATGTTAGAAATATTTTTAAGGGACGTTCAAAATTTGCTATGCGTGGGAAGATCGGGTTTCATGGCCGAAGTTGAACTGGTAATGTTAGGCAAGTTTTTGTATGGTGAGAATTAGTTTTGTTCAGAGGAGATAAATTTGAAAACATTATTTAGTATTACTTAGTAGTTATCGCTGAGTAAGGAGGTATCACATCTTTTGTTTATAGTGTGTTTACTTAATTCTATGAAACAAGATTCTGCAAATCGTCTTTGAATGGTGTTCCGTTCGTGGTAGAGAATACGAGCATTATAAATTATTATTAAAGGAGTGTTTGAAATTATTTATGCGGTCTGTTATCATAGTTTGGTTCTGGTTGGTGTTTTTCGAACTATTGTCGTGTTGTTTGAGTCTTTTTATCAAATTTTGCCCGGTTTCACCTATGAACGTAGAGGGGCAATGATTGCTATTTATTTTGTAGACAATATTGGACGTACGTTAAATACTAGTGGGTGATTTTAGGTTTGTGTAGAGGGAATTATGAGTTAGATTTATGTTGCAAGTTAACCTGATGTCTACCTTATGAAAAAGATTTTTCCACACTGGGAAGAGTTTTTTTTATATATGGTAGACAAATGTTGCCGATAAAATTATTGTCTTTAGAACTTTTAATAGAAGTGGAAGAAGAGTTTTTATTGTTGAGAATTTTAAGTCTGTTGGTAGTTACGGAGTTTATGAGATAAGGGGGATATGAATTTTTGATTAAAGTCGTGCGAATAAGGGATAAATTAGAAGGCCAAAATTGCTTATCTGAGAGAAAGATGGCGTGGTCGACTAAATTGATAATAGTGCCTATCTTCATACTAGATGGATGGTAAGAATGAAAGTTTAAGTACCTGCCCGACCAAGTAGGTTTTTGGTACCATTAGTAATAATGCGGTTGTTGTTTTTATAATTTTCACGTCCAGGAAGCTAATATAATTGTCTTGTTCCTTTTCGGAGGTAAAGGAAAGGTGCTCGTTAAACGAGTTAAAGCTGTGGAGTAAAAATTAGAAATTTTTGGTAGGAACGCAAGTGAGAATGTCATCAACGTATCTGTAATAAAAATGAAGATCTAAATTATAGGAGTTAAAAACTTTTGTTTCTAAATGTTGTAAGGAAAGTTCCGCGAGTGCTGGGGATATGGAAGAGCCCATAGGTGTGCCAAAGGTTTGCAGGTAAAAATTGTCGTTGAATTCGAAATAGGTATTAGAAACTAAAAATTTTGTTGACTCGAGGAACCAATGCAGTTGTATGACATAATATTTCATCCCATATAGTAGTGATAGCATCTAAAATTAATTGTAAGGGAACGTTTGTGAAGAAGGAAACTACGTCCAGACTAACTAATGAGGAATTATTAGGTGTTGTGAAATCGTGGAGATTATTGACTAATTCAAAGAATTTTTTAACGAAAAAAGGAGACTTGACAGTGACTGATTAAAGTATATTGTTTAGATATTTAACGAATTTTTAAAGAAGAAAGTTCAGGTCGGCGACGATAGGTCTGAAGGAAACATTATGTTTGTGTATTTTGGGAAGCTGTAGAGTTTGGGGTTATAAGGATGTAGATTTTTTAGTGTGAGTGAAACTTGTGGAGAAATTTGTTTGTTGGAAACTAAGTTATTAACAAATTTGTATAAGGAGCGATTAATGCGATCGGTGGGATCAGAGTTTATGGGAGAATAAGTTTTTTTGACTGAAACTAACTCTGAAACTTTTTCTATGTAGATGGGTTCATCTAAAATTACCGTTATGTTTTCCTTATCGGCCCTAGTGATTACAATGTTAGGGTTTTCTTTAATGAAGAGCTTGCAAGCTTTAATATCTCTGAGGATATCTATACTTTCGATTATTTGTGAGTTGAAGGATTTGATAAAAGAAAGGAAATTTTTACAAACAGATGAGCGGGTATTAGTTTTAATTTCGGGATTTTTAATATTGTGTAGACTTGACTCCAAACTACTGAGAACTTTAATAAAATTCAAATTATGGCAATTGTTAGGGATGGCAAAATTTGGACCTAACGCAAAAATGTAGAGTAATCTTTTTGGGATATGAATGTCCTTTTTTGATATCGCAACATCTTTCTCGTATTGCTGAGGAGGATGAAAACGGAGCTGATCAACACATAAGCGGTAATATTAAATTTTTTTCAATTTGTAATATTTAACATCTTATTATATTATTCATATATTTAAATTTGTTTTTTTTTTATAGACGATGAAGTCAGCAATAGCGAATCGTATGACGACGAAGTATTAATTAGCAATATATCTGATAATGATGATAAATTTATGATAATATATTTTATTGTAACTTATCAAATTTATTTAGACATAATTTGTAATTTCTCATAATATAGTTTGAATACATAATATAAGTTTTCACGCAACGCCTATTACTTGACCTTCCGCCATAGCATTTTTGCCCTCGTCTGGCAAGGGCTTATGTTAGCCAGAATGATCTGGCAATTGCACAGAGCTTTTTAGAATTGCTTAGATAAACACATATATAAATTTCAGCCTTACAGGACATAGTTTATTTTGGGACATTTTTTGCTCTCTTTCCGGCTCGTGTAGCAGGTACTGGTTGTGCAGATCGAAATGGTCTGGCAGTTTGATTTTTGAACTTCTCAATGAATAAATTACATCGTATAAAAATTTGAACCTTACAGGAACAAGTTTAATTTTTGTTTTTTTACACTTTTAAACCTCTGGACGACCGTGATGTGCAGGGCTGAAACCTGCCAGACCGTCGCTTCCGACTTAGAACGTTAAGAATCATCTGTACAAAAGATTTTAGCCTTACGGGAACACCGTTATTTAAAAGGTTCACTAGCTCTTGGCCCTTACGTCGTGTTCTCATGATACCACGCCCGTCGGGGTGGTTTTATAATATCACACCCGACCGGTGTATTAGTCAAAACACGCCAAAAAGTAGATCAAAAGTTACTACATACAATTGCCACCTTTGTCGTGTTATAGTACGCGACATACGTTTGCAGTGTGGTCCAATATTATACTACCAAAGTTGTTACACGCATATGTGACATAATCATCAAACGTTTTCTTCTTTCTTGGTCTTTCAGACTTTCGTATTTCTATAACAGTTTGTTCATGATCACTGCCAGTATTTTGGTTTTCGTCTTCCGTTATTGGCTGCATTTCATTAACCCCCACTAAAACACTGCTCTCTACTGGTTCTATTGAGTTCTTGCAAGACACATCTTCAATATATTCCATAATAACTACTTGTGGAAATTTTATTTATTTTTGGATCAAACAATCTGTAACGTTTGACATTGTCTGCATATCTGATCAAAACCTTTCTAACTGATTTTTTGTCCCATTTTGATTTTATTTGCTTCGGTACATGATCCATTACAGCACTTCCAAATATCTTAATATGGTCTCAGGGTTTTTCTTCCATTGGTTTGCAAACATCAGAATAAACTAGTTCTAGAATTTTTACTGTTCTTGATCCTTTACGTTTGAATGGCAATCTAGTTTTCTTTCCTTTACAACAAACTATATACTTATTTAGTTCTGATGTTGCGTTCTCGGATATGGTGAGTCCTTTTACTAAGCCTTTACTCAATTACACAAGTCCGTTTTATTTATATGACTTAACCGTTTATGCCTTACATTTCCTGATTTAGGATCTGCAACTAGCAAACAATTAATGTTATTTATTATGAGTTCAAACACTTCACCTGTGAGTAATGCCACTGCAACCAAAGTGTTAGTTTTGTTGTAAATTTTACACTCATTACCAATAAATATGACATTATTATACTTTCTGGTAAGAGAGCTAACAGATAATAAATTAGCTGCCAATTGTGGCACATAATGGGCATCTTGTACATCAACATAAAAAACTTGACCATAAAACTTTGTTTTAAGAGAAACGCTGCCACAAGACACTACCTTTATTTGCATATTATTAGCTGTCCTTACTTCCTGCACATCAGGTTTCTTGTTGTATTCTCTTAAACTGTTACTGTCATTCACAAGATGAATACTGGGCCCCGAATCAAAGTACCAGTCTGTTTTGTTGTATGTACCAGTTAAAAAAGCTATGCTAAATGCATTTTTATTAGGCTCATTATTCACAGTATTAAAACGACATTTATTTTTGTAATTCCCAAATCGTTTGCATTTAAAACATCTAACGTTCTTTTTAGTATCAAAATTATTTGAGTTGTATTTGATTGTATGTTGGCTGCTACCTGACATTTTGTTTTTGCTACAAAGGCGCCCTCTTCATTATTAAGCAAAACATCGTTTCTCATATCCAGCAGCTTCGCTTTTATTGCGTCCGTTGTAATGCTCAATCGTCATAATCACCGGCAAAAACTTTTCCGGCAATCCTGCCAAGTGCAAAGAGCTTATCCACTCATAATCAATATCCTGTTCCTCTCAATTTCTGCCCTGTTTCTAGTGTTTGGTTGATATGTGAGCTCATTGAATCACAATTAATTAATCTTGTAGAAATTAATGTCCTTAGGAGATTAATTCTTTGGGTGAAACCTGAATCTTTATACATCCTCTTTAATTTTTACCTTAGCTGGGCTGAGATTTTTTTATATGTATATATAAATTTGTATCTAATGTTAATATTAATTTTGATCTCGCCTTTTTATCCTTGATCAAATCAACTTCTGGCTTTACGATGCATTCTGCTAAATTTTCTAAAATTAGAAAATTTTCTGCAACACTTTTTTCAATTTACAAAGTAACGGCTTGGCAGATCGTCGCACAAAACTTACAAACGATAGTCATCATCGGGATACATCAAATGGCTTCTAAATTTCTGAAATCGGTTCAGGCGTTTTTGAGAAAACGTCGATGAAAGGTCTAATTTTGACAAATGCCAAAAAAATGATACCAATTTGACGAACTTTCAAAGTTAAACCAATGATCTAGAAGACGATGGTATCTACCGTCAAAAAAAAAAATAAAAATCGTCGGAAAATTTTTTTTTAGCACTTCATTACAAGAAAACGGCCCAACCGATCTTTACCAAAAACTAATCAGCACGATTCCCAACCAATATCTTTCGAACAATTTTTGAATTTTCATAATCGATTCAGAATTGCGGGCTAAAACGTGGACGAAACTTTTTTTACTTTTTAGTTATTTATAAAAAAACGTCTCGGCCGATCGTCGCACAAACGATAGTCCTCATCGCGATACATCGAATGGCTTTTAAATTTTTGAAATCGGCTCAGTTGTTTTTGAGAAAACGTCGATTTAAGATAAAAAATCTGTTCACACACACATACACACACACACATACTTTTTCCAAATTTGGTCTCATTCGATTCAGAATGGTTTGAAACTTCGAGAAAACATAAAATTAGCGAATCGGTTTTTTTTGATGAAAACATAAACTTCTCCTTCGGGAAGTTAAAAATGAATGCAAATATAAAAAATCAGATATATATGAACAAAAACAAAGTGTTATTTGAATTGTTGAATATTTTTGAAATTTTTAACAAGTTTATAGCGGTTTGTCAGAAAGAATGTATATTATCAGAATTTCATACCCATATCAAGCAACATAGTAATAAAAAATATTCATAAAATTCGGATGACTTACATTAGATGACATATTTTATTTATATTTTTGACATTCACTATACATTTTGACTTAATTTAAAAGAAATTAAAAACAAATGAATAAGTGGCAAAAATCGGATATTATGCCAGACCGGAATATATAGCATAAAACTAAAATTATAGTATAATAATTTTGACAGTTAATTATCAACTAGTGGTGTATGGCATCGTGCCTTGACCCTTTCGGATGGTATTCAAAAGATCGGTTTGTTTAATATTTTGTATATGTGATATATGATGAAATAAAAATGAAAGGGGCGCATGGCATCGTGCCATAAGGCAAATTGCTGAAACTTCCCGTACCAAAAATTATTATTATTTTTTAAAAAGATTGACATTTTTGAAAAAATTTTACTTCGGAAAAATTAGATTTTTGAAAAACCATGAATTTTTCAAAAAAATTACTTTTTTTGAAAAAAAAGTGTTTTCTTCACTTTGACATATTTTGTAATCTCTGAACTTTTTTCAAAGCAATCGTACTGCTTTACCTGCATAAAGACGAAATGTCGAAGCGCGTAACCGTCTAACGCATAGGTTCCCAAACGTGTTTGTGCCGTGGACCCCTTGCAATGCTTTTTGTTTTGTTATGGACCCCCTATAAGTTCAAGAAGTTCAAGAAGTCAAATGGTGAGTGATATTTCAATAGATAAAACTGTTTTTGATGATGCGTTCAATTTGGACAGTACCGTTGTCTGCGCCGAGTGTTTGTGTTTACGTGAATGTAAAAATTCACTGAAAGCATCGCTTGGCGAGAAAGACAGAATTATTGCCAGGTTAACGAAAGAGTTGGCGATAGCCAACTCCAAGTTGAATGGAGAAAACTCAAAGGTGCAGTCTGCAGCAGTTATTAGCACAGGTTAACCGACCAAAGCGTCTTCCATACTTCCTTCGTCCTCCTCTCACCAGGCCACTCCTAAACTACTGATTTTGTCTGACAGCCACGGCAGATCTTGCTCCGAGTTCTTTCGAGGACTGTTAGGTTTAGGACTGACTAAATATAAACCACATTTGTTTTGCTTGACTCAACATTGGTCTAAACTTTTATTGATCAAATTAAATGGTTATAATTTATGCCCCTTCCTTGCCCGGAATGTCTTCAAATACGGCGGTGTTTGTATTTTTGCTTCAACCAAAATAAAATGTAAAAGTATCAAAACTAATATTTTGTTTATAGAAAAAGTCTTTGAATTTTGTGCCACCGAATCCCATTTTTCTCATAGCACGTTTCGTGTTGTTTGTGTATCTCCTGACCAAGACATTGAGAAGTTTATAAGTTTAGTATATAATCTGTTAGAGGAACTTTTCATTAAATATGATTCAATATTTGTTTGCGGTGACTTAAATATCCATTCAAACAAAAGAGACAGGATTAGTGATAATTTAAAATTTAGCATGGAATCATTCGGATTATTTCCTACTATTAAAGACCGTACGAGAATAACTAGCTCCTCCTCATACTGTATTGATAATTTTTTCACAAATATGTCTACGGTAAATTCTTGTGGTATTAATACCGTTCTTTCTGACCATTATGGAATTTCACCTTCTTTGCTTATACTACTAATTATCATTTCTATTCGTATCGGTATAAAAGAAAATTTAATATAAAAAATAAATTATTTTTCAAGGAACTATAAGAAAAAGAGACTTGGAATATGTCGGATCAATCCAATGATCTTACATTTGATATATTTATAAATTCTTTTTTTACATAATTTCAACACTGCTCTTCCTATATCAAAACATGAAATGAACATTAACAAAACTCATACGTGGTACTCTCAAGATCTATGTATTTCATATAATAAATTATTGCGTTTAGAAAGAGTATCCAAACATAATAGTATTTTTAGTTTTATGATCTATTTTTTGAAATATAGAGAAATTTTCAATGATTTATGTGAACTAGCAAAAATTAAGTACAATGATAATATTATTTTCACTTTCCATAATAAACAAAAAGCGATGTGGTCACTCATAAACTCGGAAGTTAACTTCAAAGCAAATTTTATCAATATTGAATGCCTTAATATTAATAATATAAACATTTATAATCAGCTTTCAATTACCAATGCTTTTAATATTTTTTTGGTAATTAATCTTTTAATTTGACTTTAAACATAACTATTGATCCGGTCATTTCAAATGCAATCTTTTTTAAAATAAAAACTAATTCAAATTCCTTTTATCTATATCTTATATCCTCCGAGAAATTGTCGCATGCAATTTTTTCTCTTAATAATTCTTTTTCCTCGGGACCAGATGAAATTTCATCTGACATTTTAAAACAATTTTTTCCATTATTAATTGATAAACTTCTCATATGCTTTAATAATGCTATCGATAAAGGCACCTATCCAAATCATCTTAAACATTCAAAAATTAAGCCTCTTTATAAGAAAGGGGGCACTGATTTAATTAATAATTACAGACCAATTTCATTATTAAATGCTTTTGATAAAATTTTTGAAAAAATCTTACATAGTCGCCTTAATAATTTTTTAACAAAAAACGGTATTCTATTTAAAAATCAGTTTGGATTTCGACAAAAATGCTCAACATCCCATACTATATACACTTTATTACATGATATTGTTCATTCTTTTGAAGATGGTAGCTTTTGCATTAAAATTTTTTGTGACTTGTCCAAAGCCTTTGATAGTATCTCCCATGATATCATTTGTAATAAGCTTGAAAAATACGGCGTGCGTGGTTTAGCTCTTGACTTATTTTCATCTTATTTATCATGTGTGTGAACAATGATCTACCAAATTGTTCAGATCTTTGTAAATTTATTCTTTTTGCTGATGACACTGGTATTATTGTTAAGGAAAATTCTTTGGGAGAAATAAGTAACAAATTAAATTTAGTAATGGCTTCAATTTCCAATTGGTTTATGTTCAATAATCTTTTACTCAATAATGATAAAACCCAAATAATGTCATTTCGTACTGTTAATAAAATTAATAATGAGATAAGCTCGCTGAACGTAAACGATACTCTTTTCAATTTTTTTTCTCTCTTGAAGTTTTTAGGCATACAATTGCATAAAAACTTAAATTGGGACTATAACATTGATTCTATATTAATACCTAATTTAACGAAAACGTGTTTTATGTTAAGAGTCCTTAAATCTAAGGTTAGTTTTAGTTGTCTTCTCTCAATTTACTACTCCAGTTTTTACTCGCACATCGCATATGGAATCCAGTTTTTCAAAAAAGAGCTTTGAGAATAACTTTTTCTATTAGTTTTTTATCTTCTTGTAAAAACATTTTTCGTCAACATAGTATCCTTACTGTTCCCAGTATATTTTTGCTCATTACTTTATCGTTTATAAAAAATAATCTCGAACGTTTCAATTTGTCTTCAATGTCGAATTCTCATTACAAGACAAGAAACTTAACAATTAAAGCACCAGTATTTAAACTTGCAACGTCTTTTAACTCAATTGACGGATTTGGCATTTAACTTTTTAACTTACTACCACTTCACATACGAAAATTAAATAATCATAAATTCCACAATACTATAGTAAAATTCTTAAAATCTCAATATTTCTATGATATTTCAGAATTTGTTAATTTTGATATTAAACAATACTTTGCTAATATAGA